GCCCGGGGCCGCGCCCGCCCCCGCCCCTCCCCCTGCAGAACTGTCAGAAGCTGCCGGGAGCGCGGCCCGCCTCTGCCTCGTCCCCACCCTCCGTCCGGTCTCCCGTGTCGGGCGAGGGAGCCCGAGTCTGCGCCGAGCTCCACGTGTCAATCGGGGACGGACACGTCAGAGCCGGACCCCAGTCCAGCTCCAGCCCCCACCCTTCGGTCCTGCCACGTGTCACGCGCAGTGCTCGCCCCCGGGGCCCGCGGCAATTCGGGGGAGAAGCTTCGCACTCCGGCCGATGGGGGGCTCGTTGTCCCCACCCTAGGGGCCCCCCGGACCTGACTGTCACTCCCTCTGCAGCAAGAGCTACGGCAACGTGCTGGTGCTGGACGGTGTCATCCAGTGCACTGAGAGAGACGAATTCTCCTACCAGGAGATGATCGCCAACCTGCCCCTCTGCAGCCACCCCAACCCGCGCAAGGTAACCGCGCTGGTGATGGGAGCGCCTCAGTAGCCCCCAGATCCGGGCTCAGGCCCCAGGCCAGCCCCTGCTCAGCCCAGATGCTTCCTAAGTACTTGTCAAAGTCCTAGCAAGGACGGGGTGCTGCCCAGGGGGGTGGCTGATGCTTAGCCCAGGGAGGGCCAGCCCTGGGAGGTGCTAACAGGGAAGGGGGCACCCTGCCAGGCCAGACTAGAGAGCACTGGACAGCAGAAACGAAGTGATGAGGTATGGGGGTTCCCTCCACTCCTGTGGTTCTGGGTGACTGCTGCGGCCTGGCAGGGCATTGCTCTGAGTCTTGCTGGATGGAGCCTGTGGGTGGGTTGGGGCTCCAGCTCTGAGCTGGGGTCCTATGGCTCCCCTCTCCTCCCCTCACTCCCAGGTGCTGATCATCGGGGGCGGGGACGGAGGCGTCCTGCGGGAGGTGGTGAAGCACTCCTGTGTGGAGTCCGTTGTCCAGTGTGAGATTGATGAGGTGGGTGCCAGATGGGGTGCCCCGGTGGGGGTGCCTGGCGCGTGTGGGGGCCAGACGCAGGCTCCGTCCCACTAGCTCACCCACCTTCTGCCTCGCGTGTGCTCAGCAAACCTCTGCAAGGTGCCTGCCTTTGCTCCTGGTGTGCGTGCCCTGGAGAGCGGCAGCCCCTGGAGCTGACATGCTAGTTAGGAGACCCCGGGGTGACACCCAGGGTGAGCGGATGGGCCCTGACATGGAGTCCCTGCGGGTGGCGCTTGCTAGCTAGCAGGGGAGCAGGCCAGGCCTCCAGGAGGTGGGCTTGGGGTTTGGGCCGAGGCCTACGTGAGGAGGGGCGTCTCGGGGCTCTGGCCTGGGCTGGAATGGCAGCTCTCTGAAAGTGGAAATCACAGGGACACACCAGTGCTGCTTGGGGACAGGGTTGTAGAGGTGGTGGCCCAAACAGCAGGCGGGAGCCAGCCCCCCCCAAGTCGGCGAGGGGAGCTACCAGAGTTCTCACCCTGTCACAGACGTGGAAACTGAGGCTCCACAAAGTGAATGCCTCACCCAGGCGACTTGGCCTGGGCAGGGTGCTCAGCTTCCACTCCCCTGCCCAGGGATCCAGGGCCTGCCCTGAGGCCCAGCCTGGTCCCTCCTCTCGCTTGCCAGGATGTGATTCAGGTCTCTAAGAAGTTCCTGCCGGGAATGGCCGTAGGCTACTCCAGCTCCAAGCTGACCTTACACGTTGGTGATGGCTTTGAGTTCATGAAGCAGAACCAGGACGCCTTCGATGTCATCATCACCGACTCCTCAGACCCCATGGGTAGGCACAGCCGCCCCCAGCCCAGCCCCCCTGGCATGTAGTGTGAGGGACAGCTGCCCAGTTCCCCTGACACTTGTCACCTCGCTTCTAGGCCCGCCGCAGGGAGGGGCCCGGCCCTTAAAGAATCCATGGGGAGGCTGTGGGGGTCGGCAGGCTGGACCTCCCCTCTTTGGGAAGCCTCTGCTTCTGACCACCAGCAGCAGGGCCGGGCGCCTGGGCAGTGCCAGCTCAGGTCCCCCAGCTAGGGCTGGCACCTGAGCCCCCCCCCCCCACGCAGCCCCATCCCAGCTGCCTGCAGAATTGCACACTCTGGTCTGGGTGGCTGCACAGCCCAGCCTCGGGCTGCTGCTCCGGGCCTCCGCCAGGGTGTGTCCATCTGCCCCTCCCACCCCTCCCCCACCCCCCGCAGGCCCTGCCGAGAGCCTCTTCAAGGAGTCCTACTACCAGCTCATGAAGACTGCCCTCAAGGAGGATGGGATCCTCTGCTGCCAGGGTGAGTGGCCGGGGCGGGGCGGGGCAGGCGGGGCGCTGGCCCAGGCGGGGCGGGGCTCCCGCGCTCCGCCAGGGCCGACTCGACGAGACCAAGTTGAGCAACCGGCGTGGACGCGCCCTCGGGGCCCCTCACTGCAGGAGGCTAAGTCCTGGTGCTCAAGCCCCTGGGGCGGGGCGGGGCGGGGCAGGCGGGGCGCTGGCCCAGGCTCCTGGGTGCCGCTGGCCTTGTGCTCTAGAGGGCCCTAAGGGCGGTCACTTGCCAGTGTCTGGCTCTCGCGCCGCGGTTATCGGCACTGGCACTGAGTGGACGCCAGAGCCTCCCCTGCGGCCGCCCGCAGTGTCCCTGTGGAGAGCGCCCCGGGCCCGCCCGAGCTGCACACTTAGGGGTGTCCTCAGCAGCGCCCCGCTCCCGCTGGAGTCGTGGCCCCTGGGCCCCCGCGAGCTGCCTGCGCC